GCCTAGTTCTCTCCCATCTCAAGACCCTCACGGCCCCCCTCCTGGACCCCCTGCAGTTTGCATACAGAGCCAACAGGTCTGTAGATGACGCCATCAACATGGCCCTACACTTCATCCTGCAGCATCTGGACTCCCCAGGAACCTACGCCAGGATCCTGTTTGTGGACTTCAGCTCTGCCTTCAACACCATCCTTCCAGACCATCTCCGAGGCAAGCTTTCCCAGATGAATGTGCCTGATCCCATCTGCCGGTGGATCACTGACTTCCTGACGGACAGGAAGCAGCATGTGAGGCTGGGAAAGAATGTCTCGGACTCTCGGACCATCAGCACCGGCTCCCCTCAGGGCTGTGTTCTTTCTCCTCTGCTCTTCTCCCTGTACACCAACTGCTGCACCTCCACCCACCAGTCTGTCAAGCTAATCAAGTTTGCAGATGACACCACCGTTATTGGGCTCATCTCGGACGGGGATGAGTCTGACAGGAGGGAGGTTGAACGTCTGGTGTCCTGGTGCAGCCACAACAACCTGGTGCTGAATGCCCAGAAGACAGTGGAGATTATTGTGGACTTCAGGAAGCACACAGCCCCACTCCCCCCCATCATCCTGACTGACACCCCCATCACCTCTGTGGACTCATTCCGCTTCCTGGGTACCACCATCACTCAGGACCTGAAGTGGGAGCCCACCATCACCTCCGTCATCAAGAAAGCCCAGCAGAGGATGTACTTCCTGAGGCAGCTGAAGAAATTCAACCTGCCAACACGGACGATGATGCAATTCTACACTGCAATCATCGAGTCCATCCTCACCTCCTCCATCACCGTGTGGTACGCTGGAGCCACTATCAGGGACAAACAGAGACTGCAGTGTGTTGTGCGCTCTGCTGAGAAGGTGATTGGCTGCAGACTCCCATCTCTGCAGGACCTGTACACCTCCAGGACACTGGGGCGTGCAGCTCGGATCTCAGCTGACCCTTCTCACGCTGGACACAGTCTGTTTGACCTGCTCCCCTCAGGCAGGAGGCTCCGGTCCATTCGCACCAGAACCTCTCGCCATAAGAACAGTTTCTTCCCCTCTGCTGTTGGACACATGAACAATAAACGTACGACTGTTCCCACCACTAACACATGACCCTACGCTGTGTTCACTGCATCATTCCATGTTTGGCACTGATCACCACCTGCACTCATGTATATATCTTTCTACGTAGCACTTTTAATTCTTATTCTCATGTATATATCTCATGTATATCTCATGCATATATCTTTCTACGTAGCACTTTTAATTCTTATTCTTACTTCTATTTTTTTCATGCCTATTTAAGCGCAATTTATGACAGTATGTTTGCACTGAAGCACCGCAGCAATTTCCTAATGTTGTAAACCTGCTCAACATTTGGCAATAAAACCCTTTCTGATTCTGATTCTGATTCTTTTGGTTAAACTTTCAGCAAGGAATTTGCATTTGCACTGTTAAATTTTTATATAACTTTAATGCACATAAAAAACAGCTGCTCGTTTAATTGAAAATACCTTGATTTTTTTTTTTTTTTGCACAAATAAAGTTGTGGAGTTGTAAAGTATCTTGTCTAGTGTCAATTATATCGTCAGTTATATCGTTATCGCAAATTTTCAAATCTATATCGAGATAAATATTTTTGGTCATATCGCCATGCTCTAACCTGGATGATTGAGAACCTACACAGATGGGGTTTTTTTGGATATTCAGTGACCTCCACTGTCACTCCCTTCCCTATTCCAGCCCACTTGTTAGCTAATCAAACTCAGCAAATGCATACATCATCCGCTTCCCGCAGCGAGACGACAGGATCTTGTGAGGCTACACAAGAGCACATCTGCGATGTGTGAAAACCCCTCTCCCTGTCCAAATATAAACACGTAGGCAGACGGACACATTTGCAGCACCATAAATTACGCTTTAGCTTGCCATCCATCTGTGCAGCATGCAACTAAGTAAAGAAATTACTTTCACAGAGCCACAAACAAGCTGGAAATAACATTTTGTTTATCATACTCAAGCAAATCACAAGCCTGAAATCATATTCCAGCCAGTCAGCCAATGAAAACATAACTGAATCAGATGGTTTGTGTGAAGAAGCAGAACAGATGGGACATCCTGTCGTGCTAACAGAGGCTCAAGTATCAGTATGTGGTCCTGTGTGTCAGAGTGTATGTATGAGGATTTCTTGTCCTGGTTTAAGTATCCTAAGCCTGCAAAGAAGTAGTTAAGTAAAATGTAATGAATGAATGTAATGAACATATATTCAAATGCATGGACTTGATCAATTTGCTATTTGCAGTGCCTCACAGTGGAAACCAGCAGACAGTTTCCAATCACGTGCCCCTAGTGAGTCAAGCATCACTGGACTATTCTGGCTGGTGAGCGACTAATTTCTGTGTAGGTTTTCCCAAATCATTCAGAGGGAAGCAGCTCAGTCTCAACCTTCAACTTTATCTCAGTCAAGGCATTGGCACAGTAAACAAATATGAGCATGTGGCTGAATTGCATTAGTCACAACTGCAGTGATTTGCTGGGGAATGCTGGGAAAGATTATCGTGGTCTAAGAGGCTAAAACAAGAACTGCTAATAAAGGGAAATAGAAGAGAAAAAGACAAAGAGAGAGCGGAGATGTTGGGAGCTCAAACTTTACCTCTTCTGATGTTATATCATCTTCCAAATCCACCGTGCTGAATCTGCCTATCCGAAATACACTGCCTGATCCGGACAGCTAAAGACATCACAGACAACAACATAAATATATGAGTATGGCCATGTGTAGGACTTTTCAGGATGATATGTTACATTGTTAACTGCTGGTATCCATTTAAGAAACTAACACAAGAGTCTTCTCCCCTCTCCTTGGAGACTAAAGTCTATTTTTGGACATCTTTTGATGTTGGACTCATATGAAATTATACATGTCGGGTAAGATTTTTAAGAGTAAGAAGCTCTCTATTGCTCCCTTTATTGAAGAAATATTCGACTTCAAAACAAACAAAAAATCTACAACAGAAAATGCACACAAAAAGCATGTTCTTTTCCATACCTGTACATTTTCTGATGCAAATGAGAAAACATCCATTTTTGGATGCGCATATTTGGAAGGGGATTAACATGAGACTCTACTTTCATGTTGGCTAATGCCACACAGGCAGAAACGGTAACAGTAAAAAAGGAAGTTGGATTTTCCAGAATATTTCAGTATTACTCTGACAGGCAGACGTCTGCAGGTCTTGTAACTGGATAGTGCTGGGATAATCACACTTCCCAAAGCAGTCACATTACAGTTTACCTGTAGCCCAGGTAATCCAATTTGTCCCAGGATGTTTTCCAGCGTCAAACAGGTTAGGAAATAATGGAAGTAACAGCGAATGACTAGCAATAATCTGATTATTTTCCAGGAGGACTGAAACAAATTATGAGCATCATGTACTTAATTTGAATAGGCCTAATTCTATTACTTTCGCCCTCTAAACTCAGTCACAAACAAAACTTGTGGTTGCATTTACCATCCAGAATTGCAAACCAAAACACACTCTGCATGTTTGGTGGTTTTCTCTTGTTTTGATGTGTACTCGCCGTCTTCGTGAATTCTTGCACACTTCCATCCTCAATTCATTTGACTTTATGCTCAAATGCACTCTGGGTCAAGTCATGTTGCTGCTATATGAGTAACAGTCACCAGACATCAACAACACCTCAGTAAAAACTGTGTGCGCGGCCGTGCATTAAAATGATTAAAAGCATTCATAGCCCATGCAGTATTTATAAACATGAGTCAACATAAGCCTAGGATAGCTAATAAAACATGACACAGCATCTTCTTTGGGAAGCAGCGGAGGTAATAGCTGTTAAGGTAAATTAGCCACCATGCTAACCTGTCTGGAAGGTTTCGGTATCTCAGAGCCGTTGAGTAACGGTGTCCCCTCCCCGGTCAAACCGGAGTCGTCGCCCCGGCTGGACCACGACACTTTCTTGGTGATGTTAGCCATGGTGGCTCCCCGCTAATACGCCGAGCTGTCAATAGTTCGCTTCATTAACTTCAGCCGTCGTTGCCTAACAACTATTATTCTCTCTCAACTCCCCATGATTATTTCTGCAACTCGTGACGCTTTGTAAGGTTCGCGTGCAGGGTCAAAAACAATCCTGGGGCGCGTTGGCTGCTGGGATTTGACGTTTTTCAGTATTTCAGACTCCAGAAAGTTATGGCAAAAAATTATATTATATCATATTATATTATATCATATTATATTATATTATATTATATTATATTATATTATATTATAAACAATAATTAGGTGACTAAAGACTGTATATGCAAGTAAACTGTATTATTTTCATCTGAACTCTAACGCAGCCAGACTTTACCATTTCAGAGGAAATGGGAGTGCCTTTAACTTGTTGCAGCTCCAAAGTTTGTTCCCTTCATTTTAAATATATATAATAATAATACTTGTTAGTTAACATGTCTACAAAGAACGTAGAGGTTATGCCTGTTATTAACACCTGTGCAGTGGTAAAGGGGTAAGATGTAAAAAATTGTTCTGAATCAAGAACCAGTTTGAGATTTTTAAATCCTGCATACCTCCAAGCATATCAGTTCCTTTTTATCAATTTTTTCTGCACTACAATTATTTCAAACTTACATGTAATGTAAATAGTTTTGATGAACCTGAAAAACTGTCACTCAAATTTTTCCACATGGAAAACAAAGGAAAATAAATAAGAAGATTTTAAAAATACATAAAGCTAAAAAGTAATTAATAAGGAATAGGGGCATAAAAGAATTGCTAATGAAACGGGTATCAGTTTGTGAAATACCATAAGCTTCATTGTTTCATTTGATTTAGCTATAAAAATGTGACTTGCACTTGCAGAGGGAAAGCATTGGATTCATGGAGAGTCATGGAGAGTGGAGAGTTTTTCTTCATAAGAACATTATTGATATTCACATAAGCTGCTAAAGTTCAGTTTGCTTGATACATTGGCTATTAGAAAAACAGGCAAGAAACAAGGTAAATAGTAATAAGTAATAATTGTATGTGTAGCATGTATCATACTGTGTATAGATTTTAATTTTAGAGTAACACAGCAAAGGCAGGAGGCGTGAGTAGGCATATAAACTTAGTTACAGTCTCTTAGTTAGTTTGCGACACTCGCTATTACAACGCTAGTTTTGAAAGTAGTTTTAACATTATAATTATATTATAGTTTGTTTCAGTAAGAATACTTTGAAATCTTTATCAAAGCATCCTTTATATTTGTGTAGCTATGATTATTAGAGTGGATTCTGGCGTTCTCCAGCTGTCCTGGTCTCAGGCTTGACCCTGCTACAGAGTCCACGAATAATAATACTTTTATAAGTGCTGTAGTTAAAGTAGAAACTGATAGCACGGTAGTGTTTACATTCACAAACATAACCTTTGCACAAAAAAAGAAAAGGAATTGCTTAAATGATCACTGCTTTTTTCCTTGATTAGATTATCAGCCACAGTACTCTAAACAATCACAGGCCACATGATGCACCGCCCCATGCACCTCCTTTATATCCTCCATGCCAAGCACCACTCCTCTGGGCACACCTCTTCCTGCCACTACTCCTTCTACCTCTGATGGGCTAAGCACCCGGTTCCATAACCTGAACCCAGCCATTTGCCCAGCAAAACCCTCTGCAGGATCAAACCCTCCACCAACAGAGTCCTGCTCCTGTCCCAGCACCACAGATCCACCTCCGGGAACCTCCCAGCCCTTCCTGAAGTCAGAGCCTGAGGAGGCGAGGAGGTGGTCATTGTAGTGCCAGAATCGACCGTGGATAGAGGACCAAAGGACACAGACATGATGCCAGTGAGTGTCCAGAAGCGGTGACACCTGGAGACGACGATACACGGGGTCTCTAATGACAAAGTCCAGAGAGGGTGAGGAAGAAGGTGAGGATGGAGAAGAAACAGAAAAGGATGTAGACGAAGACGAGGACCTATGTCCGTAAAGAACTAACTGATTGTCACTGTCATCGGTGGCATAGGAGAGCAGCGTGCCAATATGTGGTGTCTCCACACGAAGCCACAGGCACAGAGAGAGTTCAAGAAGAGCTGGTAGACTCAGGGAGAAGGTGACATAGTTTTCTGCTGAGGCCGAGGGGAACAGCACCATGGAGTCCACGTTACAAACTGCAGACAGAGAAAGAAGACGCATTCGAATTCATCTAAACATGGTGCCAACACATACACATGAACAAACTGAACAGTGCATGGAAAAGCTAAAATGTTGTATGAATGCAACATCAAACTGAGCTAAACAGCAAAAACAGTTGCATGAGAGGCAGTACATGAAAGATAAAAGAGGGTTTACGCAAATCTATAAACAGTAAATGTGATGCTTTTCACTCGATGATAACATGATACAATTTTGAAATGTTTCTTTCGTTGACTTTTTCAGTATCTGAGTAGATACTTTACTTACTGGTTGCATCCCTCTTAGGAATTGGCTGTGCTGGGATCTTGTGCTTGAGAGGAATTTGCAGAAAGTTATGAATCATCGTGTGCCTTTTGTCCTCCTCTCCTTCATCCCATCCACTAACACTTGGCTTATAAGGCCGAAGAGCCTCCGGACTGGTCCTGTTCTGTATGTCTTCTGGTGTATAATGGTTTGGAACACGGGGCAGCATCCTAGAATGCTGTTCGGGGTCTTGTAAATGTGGGGTTTCCTCAGGATGTGAATGGGAATGGGATGGTTGCTGTACTTGGGGATCAGTCTGGCCCTGCAATTGAGACAGAGCCTGGTGGGTGGTGTTGATGCTGGGGAGAGTTAGCTGATGCTGATGCTGGGAAGGATAGGGCTGTGTCTGTGCCCAAGTTTGGATCTGGACCTGGGGCTGCGAAGGGTCTGGATGTGTTTTAGGATTTTCCTTTTGGACTTGTATTTGTAGATAAGACTCTGGCATCTGAGCTTTTGAATGTTTAGACTGCCTTGCTGCATGGAGTTGGTCTGGCTTAGTTTCATGATCAGTGTCCGTCTGGATTTGGCTGCTTTCTTGCACTCTGGGTTGGATATGTCCTTCCAGAATCCTTCTACGCTTTCCTCCTCTATTTGTCTGACCTCTTCTGCATGGTTCATTGTATTCCTGAGGTGTGATGTTGGAGCTAACAGGCTCTCCCATCTTCTGCCTTCCATTCCCGTCTAGGACTTCACTGAGCCGGCCCTCGAGTTGGACCAAACGTGTTGCCTGGTTTTTCAGGGATTCCAGCAACCCTTTTAGTCCAAGCAGCAACTCATCACGCTGGATTTGAAGAGCAGCCAGTCTCTCCTCTTGACTTCGGAGCTCTAGAGTGAGGTCGAAGAAGTCCTGATCAGGATCGGCTGTCATTTTTTCAGTCTGGTGGCAGTTCTCCCTTAACTTTCTTTCCATTGAAGTCAGGCGACCCATCAGCCGCTTATTCTTCTTCTCAAGCTTCCTGTTTGTCTCCCTGTGGTGACAGTGTGAGAAAATATTTGATTAGGTATTCTTGTGTTCTTGCTTCTCAAATCCAGCTTTTAGCATCAGACTAAGGATGAACTGCTACATTTTATCATGTATGGCATGTAAATAGCTGAATGACCTGAGAAATTACAGTTCAAAACTAATATTACTTCTCAGTGCAGCCCTTCCAGTCTCCGAGAACAGAACATTTACCCCTGGTTGCTCTGACCTGAGATCCTCTATCTCCTGTGTTGTGCTTTGCTTTAGGTGTTCCAGGTCCTGTGATACATGGTGGTAATGGTCGTTCAGGCCTTGAACACGCCGCTTTAGCGCCTGCAAGGAACTCCTGTTCTGGTTCAGGGCCAGCATGTTCAAACGGGCTCGAGTCAAAGCCTGGAACTGTTGGAACTATCAGGGAAAAAAACGTTTTCATGAGTCTTCCTGCAGATGTTTGCTCTCTGACCTCAAGGTCAGGAAAATACTGAAAATCTCCAGTAAATACTGAAAAACACGTGTCACATGGTCGTGACAACTGATCATCGGGTGCTGCAAGAGATTTTCCATGATTTCAGTGCTTTTACAGCATGACTAATAACATGTATGACAGCAGAAGAGAAACAGTATTGCGAAACAGATATTCAACTTTAATCTGATAGTGTCACATAAAAAGTAAACAAACTAATAAAAAGCAAATGTTTGTTTTTCTTTTTTAACCCTCTCGTGCATTTATTCAACAACATTCACCCCCAACTACTCGCAGCAGATTGCTGCTCGGTCCTGAGCCTGGTTCTGTTTCTTTCTTAAAGGTGAGTTTTTCCTTCCCGCTGTTGCCAAGTTCTTGCACATAAGTGGTCATCTGAGTTATTTTAGGGTCTTTACCTTGCACTATACAGTAAAGCACCTTGAGGTGACTGTTGCTGTGATGCTGAGTCATTCCTGTACAAAAATGTCAAATTCCGCGATGATGCTTTTTGATGCTGCAATGAAAGAAATGCCAAAACTAACATGGAAGAACATTTCACAAGTGAGGTGTTATTTTGATTTTGATTTATTTTTGGTCATATGGCTATAGTCCTATATTTCAAACCAAACTTTTTTGGATCAGCTGAAAATTATGATGATTTTCAGATTGTGTGGAGACCTCCCTATGGGCCCAGCTCCTTTACCTTCAGAACAGCCCTGATTCTTTGAAAACAAGAACATTTGTGGCCATATTGAAATGGTAGTACCACAGCTTTTGTGACTAGTGAACAGGGATGGATTTGAGTTAGCATAGGATATAACTAGCACATAAAAAGTCATTTAAAATAAGCCGCATGCATGCAAAGGCAAGTAAAAATGTGAGTTTATGATACTACAATAAGTACTACTGTATATTATTTGCAATATAGGTAATAAGGGACTGACCTGCTCATTAAGTCGTTGGAGTTTCTGGGAAACTGGATCAAATCCCTGCACCTTTACAGTCTGAAGCTGCAGCAGAAGCGTGTAAACCAGGACCTGCATCCAGATGCCCACCACGAAGCTGCGCATGGTGCTGGGCAGTGGAGCAAGGATAGATGCAAGCTGTCGGTCTTTGTCTGGGAATGTGTAGTTGAAGGAGAAGAGAACGACATAGCTGAAAAGGGTTGGTCTTGAAACACACTATGTGAAAACAACACTTTCCACAAAATCACTGGGGAGCTGGGAGGAAATGCAGATGGCTTCAGCGGGTGCTCTGCTTCTGTCTTTCTCCCTCTTTCACTGTCAAATACAAATTAATAAACACAAAAGAGAAATGAAGTGCCCGCAATAATCGGATACACAATATTTATTAAGTGTGTTATTATAAAAGCACATTTATTTTTATTTAAAGTGCTGGAAATGGTCATTCAGCTTTGGATATGAAGTTTAGATTTATTAAAAGCTTTCATGAACTTCCTCAAAACACAGCAATCTCAAAATATATTCTCATAAAAACATATTTTGGTTAACTGAAGTAAGTTCACAGGCTTTTATGTGTGAACTTGTCTGTGTATGTGGCTGTAAAACTCATGATGTGTGGGCTGAGGGAGAAGCAGCTTGTACTTTCTTCTTCCCCTTGATTCTGCCTGGGGGGATCTGGCTCTCTTCATCTTCTGCTTTTTGTGCAAATGACCCAATCCAGGAATCCCTTTGCAGAGCCCTCCCTTCTGCTTTAATTCTTATGACTCAGTTGCAACACTGCAGCTTTAATCCGCAGTGCTAAACATGGAGAATCTCATTGCATTGATGCCAATATGCTACTTTAAATACACGCTCATGTTAAAGTGAAGTGTTCCATCAAAAGTTACACTGTTTTCCACATGTGAAAGTCTAGTGCAAACAGAGGTTTTACTTTCGCTTTCATTCTGACCTCCCACAAGTCCCACATGCAGCGTCAGTGCCTTTGTCATTTCATTGTCTCACCCTGGAAAGCCCTACACGGGCTCATTGGCCACCAGAAGATCGAGATAATGCTTTGATCAGACTAGATGCTGTGCCGTACTCTTTTTTAAACAGACTTGGCTGTACTTTTATTCAGCCCTTTTCGTCTCCTTTTAGGTTTGTTTTGTTGTTTTTTTAAGTCCTTTGTTGAAAGCTGGGCAGTGTATTTAGGCACACTGTGATAACGTTTTATCACACGGTGCTTTTGCGGATTTTTGTATCTGTTTTTTTTTTCTTTTAAACAACAACTTCAGTTTCTTTCGTGTGGAGGATCATCAACGGTCAGAATCTTGAGTCCAGTTATAAAAACCTCCCATAAAGCAAAGATGGATGAAGTGACTCCACTGCTGCCAAGACAATCAACATCCCAGGTCTGAGCTCACTGATTGTCATTTGAAATCCTATAAGCTTAAAAGATTTAATGCAGAAATAAGATCATGTCTACATCACTTTGTTTATGGTCTAACTCATTTCTCATTTCAGACAGACAGTATTTTTAAGCTGTGTTTATAGTGTGGGTGTCGAGCTGTTTTAAACTCTGAGTTTATGCAAATTATGTGAATAAACTAACCGTTCAGTGCAGCAGCTGAATGGAGATGTCTATCTGCAGCCTGACGGTTAACAGTCCAAATCTTTCTTTGTTTGACGGTAAAGTTGACATGTGTGAAAAATAAAAAGCATGATTTATTTTACAGTGTGATTCAAAACTCTGATGATAAATGAAAACTTGGCCTGAGTGAAAGAAATCCCACCTGTTACTATACTGATTTAACTTTCAATGCAACACAAACATCCCATCCTCTGACTTTGATTTGCTCATTGCCGAAATGTTGATTTCTCCATTCCAAGCAAACCGCTCATAGCTTTGTTTGTCTGACTGCAGTGTTGCATTTTAGGATGACCTCAACAGGAAAATGAAACAGAAGTCAAGAAGCTTGTGAACTCCAGACAACTTGCTTTATGTCACTTTCTTAACTGATTACTCGAGAATATTTCAAGGTGAATCCAGAGTTTCTTGTTTTGAATTTTTTTCCTCCACTTCTGGAAAACACCACAGAACTTTCGTTAACTAAGTTCAACTGGTTTGATTACTTTTTGCTATTTTTGCACATTTAAATACAGAAAATACACAAATCTGTGCGTGACTTCTCTTCTGTAAGTTAACTCATCACTTCCCACCTCCCTTTTCTGTCATGGTCTGTGAAGAGAGAATTGTTGAAGGCAAAAGAACTCAGACTCAAGATATCTTAATACATGTGCACACATGGACGACCCCCCCTCATCGCCCAGATCCATCCCGCAGCAACGTCTGCAGGGCAGATATGAGCCAGAGGAAAAAGACCGCCCAGGGCATCCAAAACATTCTTTATTTATACTTAAGCAAGTTTTCAAGGAAGTAGGATTGGCAAAAACATTTCCATATTAGGAAAAAGAGACCGTTAGCTTGCCTGTTGACAAAGGAGGTAGTATGTATAGAAATGCAGACATTCCATAAAAGGACAGAGAGAGAGGGGGAGCGCCAGTCTGTCTGTTTAAAACCGGATGTCACCACATATTAATATTAATATTATATTATTTTTATTATTATATATAATCCCCCCCCTTTATATCTACTCTCTGGACAACATGCTGATTTTTAATTTATTTGGGATGACAAACCTCTCAGACACTTCCACACCTATCATTGATTCACTGAACATCCAGATCAGTTTCAACTATATATGTGCAGTTGATCTTGTGTTTGAACGTGTCCACACCTCTTTGTCTTAGATTAAAAACTCTGGACTGTACCTGGCCGCATTTGCAGCGGTCCTGGGGAACTTCAACTCTGGTTACTCCCTTGTCTACCCATCTCCCGTGCTGCCATATTTCCAGAGTCCCGACGCCGACCCTCGGCTCAGGATGAACACCGAGCAGGCCGCCTGGTTCGGATCTATCTACTCCCTAGGTGCTGCAGCCGGGGGGCTAGGGGCCATACTGCTCAATGACATGATTGGACGAAAGCTGAGTATTATGATGTCGGCGTTGCCCACAACTCTCGGGTTGGTCTCAGTCACAGCATACACAACATGAAGCCCTCTTTAACACTTTTAACAGACAGATTTGCATAGAACAGAATAGAAAAAATAGAAATGCTCTGTTATCATAGTACACATACAACAAAATTGTGAGTGCTCCACACAAACTGTGCAGGAATAAAATATAAATAGTATGACAGCAGAACAAGAGGAAGATTATAGCATATATTATAACATTGGTAATATTGTGTACGTAGATCATTTATTTCTAAATTCTGTACTTTGATGCTATGACATCCAAACTTTAATAAACATTTAAAAACCTAAAATACCACTGAAAGCACATAATGCACTAAACTGGGATGAACTGGGAGCCAATGGAGCTGTTTAAGAACAGGTGTTATATGTTCAGTGGATCTAGTTCTGAAAATAATACGAGCAGCTGTATTTTGAACTAACTGCAATTTATGGAGGGATTTATGAGGTAGACCATAGAGAAGAGAATTACAGTAACCCAGACGAGATGTGACAAGAGCATTGACAAGTACGGTGGTACTGTGTGGTGTGAGTGAGGGACGAAGATGGTTAATATTACGGAGATGAAAGATTGGAACACCTCTATGAAAGCAGAAGAAGAAGAACACAATGCCACAACCATCCCAGGAGTGAATGTCTCAGCAGATTAACTCCACTGCTCAGAGAAACTGCAAAAAACCCAAGAGCTAAACCTCAGACAGGCCTCAGTCAGCATGTTAAATGAGCAGGGCTGAAAAATGATGGCTTATTTGGAAGGATTGCCAGGAGTAATCTTCTTGTCTTGGCAGCACTGCTTAGGTCTGCAAAGTTGCACCTGGTGATGTGTTTCATGAATATTACACTGTAGACTATTTATTTATTTATTTATTTATTTATTTATTTATTTATTTATTTATTTGTGTCCTGTTTGGATCTTTAGCCATCAGAATTGTTGTCTTAAGGCCAAGAAAGATGCCAAGCGGATTTATTTTACCAAGTGGATCATCATGGCCTTGCCATATTGGTCCATTTGATTGACTTTTATTATAAGTATGAATTTATTTATTTTTTCAGTTGCTACAAACGGGACAGACATGACTGGGGGATAGGACAGGGAGAAAGAATGAAAGAAAGAGAGGGAGAGAAAGAAAACCAAAGGGGAGAAGAGACGGTGAGAAAGGGGGGAAGAAAGAAAAAAAAAACAAAACAAAACAAAACAAAACAAAACACCTGGATCACCTGTATGGAGAAAAAAAACAGAAGAGAAAGCAAACAACAAAGAGCAACATAAAAAAAACAGCACCATCACAATAAACTAGCTAGCAGTAGATAACAGTAGATACTAAATAATAAATGATATTGTGCAGCACGCAAGATAGACAGCGCACAATGTCCTTTGAAGCAGCAGCCCAGAAAGGTGTAGTCCGAGTCTGTGAACACCCGTGTGTACACCTGTGTGCACACCTGTGTGGATCAGCATGCTTGTATTCCAAAGGTTTCTCCATGTAACGGTCTGCTAGGGAGTGTGGGGAGCCACAGCCCCGTCCACCAGAGTATGAAGCAGGTATGGAGGAGATTCAGGCCCCAGATATCCAGAGGCCCCAGAGTACAAGGACCCGAGGAGGACCACCAAAGGGGGGGGGAACCGCGCCACCCTCCTGGGAAGAGCTGAGTAGAGCCCCAAAGGAGAGGTCACCCCGCAGCTACGGAGCAGAGGCCAGAGGGGGTTGCAGTGGCGTGCCCGCGGGCTCTGCCGGCAGCCAGCTGTGCCAGAGAGGACCGAGCTTCAGGCCCAGAGGCCAGAGGCCTGAGGGCATCCCACCCCGGAAGGAGCCCAGCCGGGCCACAGGCGCCCGGCCCCGCCAATCGGCCACCAGGAGTGAGCCGGTACATACATGAGCGCCCAGCCCCAGACGACAAGGACCACCAACACACCAACGTCTGAGGGCATCAGCCACCGGCAGGGAGTGTGGTGAGGGGAGATAGGCCTCCGTACTTTAGAGGGCCTGAGATGTACCCAGAGAGGTTGAGTCTAAGACCCAACCTGACATATAGACACAGACGAACAGGCACACGCGGACACAGACGTGCATTCCCACCCCATATGCACAACCAAATACTCGGCACTCACCCAACGTGTAGACAGACACAAATAGACACTGCACAGACAGTCGCACTCCCCAAACATACTCTATATCCCTAGATTATTTATTTTGAATGAATAAACTGTGTATGTGTGTCTCAGGTACATGCTGATGGGAGGAGCTATAAACTTGTCCATGCTCCAGGTCGGCCGTTTCCTAACTGGCGTTGCCGCAGGGATGACTGCAGCATCCATTCCTGTAGGTAACCATGGTTATTATAATTTTTTGTATTCTCTGAGTCCCTAATACGTATATGGATACCTGACTACAGCATCCTATAAAAATGTTGACAAAAGTGTTCAGTGTTCCCAGAAAAGTATTAAGAGATTGCAGTTAATTCATCCAGTTTTAAAAACACTGCATTAAAACTAGATAGACAGTCACTAAAATGAATAAATCATGTGTGAGAAAGCATGAACATAGTTTGTCTAACATGTCCCTCATTAATGGGATAAGCTACACCATTGGTTACTTTTATGACAAGTGCAGAACTGAAAAGACAAGTGAGCTTAAAGTAAATTTGCATCATCAGAGCAAACAGGTTTGTCAGGAAGGAAAAATCTAGTGTCCTGTAAAGCTGGAAATATTGTTAAGTTAAAAAAAATGGAGTACTGAATCTCACCTAGACCCACAGAGCATGGATGCATGAGCTAAAACAACTTTGAGAATTTCCACATGCTAAAGAAACTAGATGTAACTATTATAATGGTAAGCGCCTCTTCTCTTCTCTTACATATTTAATTAAACACTTAAACTTTATGCACTTGATATAAACTGAATGTATATCAGTCAAGTAAATTTCACTGAATATTTTACATTTTACGTAACACAAATTACATGTGAACTTTACATGAATTCCAGAATTCCTTTTATGCTGAATAACTTATTTAGCAGGTGTGCTTGTACCGTCTTTGTGAGTCATCTCAGTGTAGTTGAGTTGCTTTTTGGAGACACTACTGGCATCTTTTGACTTACTCTCTGAATTTGTACTAGTTGACTTTATGCAACTGTGATATTATGTGTGTTTGCAGGTTTACATCTCAGAGATCTCCCACCAAAAAGTGAGAGGAGCTCTTGGCTCCTGCCCTCAGATCACAGCTGTAATTGGGGCCCTGGCGCTCTACGCTCTTGGTAGGAACAAACCAGTGCTGGTGCATACCTAGTTATGCCAGCTTTATACATAGTTAGCTGTCTTTGCTAAAATTGGTTGTGCATCTTACTTTTCTTGCTTTTAATGGTATTCTCATATAAAACCGTGTTGTGATGTTTTAAGTGGTGTATCTTAAAAAAGAAACTGCCTCTCTTTTTTTTGTATACAATGGACAGGTCTGGTGGTGCCATGGAGGTGGCTGGCTGTGGCAGGCGAGGTGCCAGCTGTGTTGATGGTTGTGCTGCTGGCGTTCATGCCCTCCTCCCCCAGAAGGCTCCTCTCAATGGGCCGGCAGCAGCATGCTGAGAGGGTGCTCCGCTGGCTCAGGGGAAATCAGTATGACGTCCAGACTGAGCTCCTTGCCATACAGGTAAATAGGCAAGCAGTTGATTTACTGGGTTTCATTGGAGATGAATATGAGACACCTCAGTATACATCCTACAGGGTTCATAGACATTAACACATTTGTTGTAACTCCATTAATGCAGCACAGCATCGACACACAGCCCAAAATCACATGGTCTCAGCTGGGAACACCAACCTACTACAAGCCAATCCTGATCTCAGTGGGGATGCGTTTCCTGCAGCAGATGACAGGCATCACACCAATCCTGGTTTACCTGGAGCCCATCTTTAAAAAGAGCAATGTCCCCCTGCCACCCAGGTTGGTGGTTTATTTCCCATGTGGATTTTATTGTTTTTAGCCTTTTGTGCTTTAATGATAATAACACAAATGATACATCTAATTAATCATTTAAATTGACTTTGAAACTCAAGAATAATCACGAAACACGTCGAGTTCGTCTTTAAACTCCATATCTGTGTTTCTGTATCTGCCAGGTATGATGCTGCCATCGTGGGTTTGGTGCGCCTCGGCTCTATTGCCGTGGCAGCTTTTCTGATGGACAAAGCAGGACGCAAGGCTCTGCTGTACACATCGAGCATGCTGATGTTTTTGTCCTCTCTGACTCTCACCATGGTTTCTCACACCACACCTTGCCCTCCTGGCCCTGCTCCTCCAAACCACACCGCTCCGGACTACACCTCCCACAATGACTTTGGAAGCACTTTTATGAGCAATGCCCAAACTGCAGGGAGCGTCTTGCCGATCATTTGTACCGTGGTGTTTATATTTGGTGAGTTCTGAAAGCAACAGATATTTAATTATTTGTTTCTGGCAGTCAGTGACGTGGTAGTGAGAGGTGCCAAGGGGGAAGCTGCATCCATAAAGTATTTGAGTGCGTCACACAGACGTAGACTGCTTATCAGTGTTAAAAACTCGACCATGCAGAAAGTCATATTATCTGTAAGATTATACAGTGAAAGTACCTGAAAATCTGTTCTGCCAATATGGTTGAATTTGCTATGGCGGCGCCAATGACTGTATATCAAAGATGGACTTGAGCAGTTTGGGGTTTTTAGGTCGTTGTTTTTCTAGTGTCAGCCTCAAGTGGTCATTTGAGGAACTGCAGGTTTTGACACTTAAGCATCAGCTTTATTTTTCAGCAGCAGAGATTACTGTTTGGTAACAAACGCCATAAACAATTAAGTTAGCATTTAAACAAATACATGTATACTTTTATGGGTTGTAGAGGAGAAACTTAGTAACCTGTCAGGCATGTGCTTTGTGTAAATTACATCAGAGGTGTTAAATCATCAGCTCTGTTATATTTCGCTGTTGGAGCCTCATTAACAGACTATGACGTGTCAACATTATATCCTCATAAAAATATGATGGACAAATATGTTGTCACACCTGCTCAGCTGAGAAAACCCCCAATGATTTACATGTTGTAGCATTAGCATGCTGCAACATTAGCGTGCTTCTTCCCTTCAGGGGTTTTGTTTTCAGACGTCGTTAATCACACCTTAAAGAAATGTCCCAGTCTGAACATCCTAAAATATGCTGTCTCTGTGCTGTGACTGTGCCTGACAAAGGGCGCCTGCTGCTTTCATTGTCTCATGATGTCATCTTCTTTAATGTGGGCTGTTAGCTTTATTATCACATTGTTGGTTGTCTCCTAGGATACGCCATGGGATGGGGCCCAATCACATGGCTGCTAATGTCAGAGGTGCTTCCACTGGCTGCCAGGGGTAAAGCTTCTGGTGTGTGTGTCACCATCAGCTGGCTGACGGCCTTCGGGCTCACGCACGGCTTCACACACTTAGTGGACACGTATGGCCTGTATGCGCCCTACCTGCTTTTCACGGTGGTGTGCGTCGTCTCTCTGCTCTTCAATGCTGTGTGCATCCCAGAGACTCGCAAGCGCTCGCTGGAGGAAATAGAGAACTACTTCAGGACGGGACGCACGTTCACCATCAACCAGTCCAGTTGAGGCCTGCATCAGTCTCATTCACATGATGTACTTATATATGGGGTGCCGTTTGTAAAGTGAAACATGCTGAAATTAACGGCAACATTTTTCCACATTTAGCTCAAAACAAGTCATTTTTTACAACATTTAGTAAAATATTAGTAACTTTTCATATTTAAAACAGAATTTGAAATGTTAAATCTAAATGTTAAATATTCAATCTAAATGTTAAATGTTAAATCTAAATATTATATTTAAATCTAAATGTTAAATGTTAAATCTAAATATTATATTTAAATCTAAATGTTAAATGTTAAATCTAAATATTATATTTAAATCTAAATGTTAAATGTTAAATCTAAATCTAAATCTAAATGTTAAATCTAAATGCTAAATGTTAAATGTTAAACCTAAATGTTTAGGCTAATATGCAAATTTATTGTACGGATCAACGGAAATACCGAAATAAAAGCTTCCCGAAAACCTCCGGTGCAAAATTGTGTCTGCTCCCCCCCTCACTTCTCCCCGCCATGAGCTGCTTCACTTCTTGCCTACGAACATGTCCAGCGATTTTGCTGGACATGCGCTGCAGCGATTGTGAAGTGGAGACTGCAGCTGCTAAGAGTGCACTACTGCTGAACCTTTGGATGGCCGACAAAACGGATCTTCCGATGTTTTCAGCTAAATCGCCGGACGTGCTTTCTCATGGTCTGGTTATGGCTGAATTCCAGTGGAATGACGGTCCCGTCGTAATAGACGTTCCAGTTATGTGTTCCAGCCCTAAACCAAACTTATCCCTAACCATAACTAGCTGTTAAATGATGTAAAATAGTGTTTTCCAAAGCGATTTTTAGAAAATGAACGAACATGTGTAGATTGAGTCCAAACGGTTCTCATGTGCTCTCCTTTTTCTGATGCTGTAATTTAGGAACGTGTTGGGTACCCGAAAGCATAAAATGTTGACAATTTGTCACCTAGCGAAAATTATTACGCTTTGGGAGTGAGAACGTGTCTGACCACTACCGGCACACTTTTGCACCGGAGGTTTTCGGAAAGCTTTTATTTTGGTATTTCCGCTGATCAGTGCAATAAATTTGCATGTTAGCCTAAACATTTACATTTAACATTTAACATTTAGCATTTAGATTTAACATTTAGATATAGATTTAAATATAATATTTAGATTTACCATTTAACATTTAGATGTTAATATAATATTTACATTTAACATTTAACATTTAGATTTAACATTTAAAATTCTGTTTTAAATATGAAAAGTTACTAATATTTTACTAAATGTTGTAAAAAATGACTTGTTTTGAGCTAAATGTGGAAAAATGTTGCCGTTAATTTCAGCATGTTTCACTTTACAAACGGCGCCCCATACTTATAAAGCAGGCATGGGGGGTCTTAGAAAAATGATCTGAGAGCTTGAGAGATTCCAATCAATCAAACTTAACCATCATTAAAGACTGATTTCAACTAGCTAAAAATAGTTATCACCAGCTCAAGTAGGTTCCCATTTAGCACCTTCATTAAAGGTCAGAGCAAATACACATAACTGACAATTTTAACAGCTACATTTTATCATATGATTACTTTATCATCTAATCATCTATTTTTCATCTAATTGTGGTAATAATTTTTATACACTAGTCTAGAATAATTACAAATTACAAATAATATACCTCTGATTGTTATTTTGTAGATTTATATATGTCAGACTTCCAGCACAGCTTGGAAGCACTACTGTATGATACACAGAGACGAAACTACTAACAAACAAAGCTCTAAACTAAACTTCCCAGAGGAAGTGGCCAGAGGGAGAGCACAGCAGTAGGTCCACAGAAACATTTAGTAGAAAAAAAGACAATTTTCTACAAATGAAAAAAAAAAACCCTTCTGTTTTTAATTGCGGGACAGTCTGATGTGCTTTTTCTGTCATTTTACAAATGTATTTCTTACAATTTCAGCCCAAAGAGTAATGTTGACGGCAATGTTTGTCTTATCACTGGAATAATTTAGACATACTGTTGAAGATGCCCTTCTGTTTTCTTATTAAAAATATCTGAGGGATTAAATGTGCATTTAAACTTCTTTACATTGGCATGAACAGCGAGTTTAAGAGGTGCAGCCCACTTGAGATCAAAGCTGGCCTGCGATGTAAAATGAATTTGACATTCCTGATGTAAACCATGCATTTTATTTATTTGAACACATTTTGCCCCTCCCTTCTGTCAAGGGAAAATTGTATTTAGTAGTCAGTATAATCTTTTAGTGATATAAGTTTGCATATGGTAGAATACTGCATGTAGTTATTTGTATTAGAAAATATTCAACCATGTATACTTAGAGGCATATAATCAATTGTGTAGTGACAGGATGTGTGATTTTTCGTACCTTGTCTTATTGTTTTACGGTAGGATTAACGTAGCTATGTTTGTTTTAGTCCAAGTGCCTTTTGGCTGGACTTTGAGACCAGCAGGTTTAGGGAAGATTTTATGGGGCCACACTCTGACCCCACACACACACACACACACACACACACACACACACACACACACACACACACACACACACACACACACACACGCACACCCAATGAAGACCGGGGCAGTTTCTCAGGTGCGAGTCTCAGAGACGTTCTGTGTGTTTCTTTTCTCTGAGTCTTTACTGAAGAAGTGTTTTAGAATATATTCCTTAACACCTTCCTTCCCTCCCCATCTCCGGCTGCCTCCCTCTTCCTGCTCCACCACAATCACCCACACATGCAGGGCCTTGGGGTAAAGGTGTATCACCTTGGTGCAGGGGAGGCATCCCCCCCTCTGTCCCCTTCTGGCTTCTTGTGCCACAATTTTATCTAACAACTTAGACATTCACATTACTCACACTCTCATAACACATACATATAGGATCTTGGGGGTGGGCACGCTAGACGGACTCCAAAAGACCATCAGGGTGTGCACCTCACCCCTGGCGTCGTTGCCCACCTCTCAATTTTAAATACACGTAGAGAATTTAGGGCTATCAGGAGGGACTATGCGCTTACCTGCTGCTCTCTGGCAGGTAGCTCCATGCCCTCCTGGGTTTTAAATGCACCTTAGAACACACATGCATCAACACTACATATGAGCGGGCAGAGGGAGGTTTTGGAGTCTTCTCTCACCCCCATTCTCTGCGACCTGCTGGAGCGGGGGGGCAGGAGGAGGAGTTGGCCATCCGACTGGGGTCCGGAATGTGGGGCCTCCCTGCTGCTGCGGAGTCGGGGTGGTCTGCCTCCCCCCACCGCAGGGAAAAAGGGTAACACCACCTGGGTCTGGGTGCATTTTCCCCCTCCAGGGGCAAGGGTACCTAGACCCAGTTCTTAGAGTACGCTTGGGGAGTGTGATTGTGTATACAGCGTCTCTTTATGTCTGTCTCCACGTTGGTTGAGTGTGGAGTAAGTGCATATGAGAGCATGAGGGTGGGAATGGATGTTTGTATCTGTGTGTGCCTGTTTGTCTGTGTCTATATGTCAGGTTGGGTATCAGACACCACCTCTCTGGGGACATCTCAGGCCCTCCAAGGTTTGGAGGCCTATCTCCACCCACCACCACTTCCCCTGCCAATGATGGACTCCCTCAGACATCGGTGCATTGGTGGTTCTTAGTGTCTGGGGATGGGCGTCCAGGTACACACCGGCTCACTCCTTGGCGGCCGCTTATCGGGGCCTGGATCTTGGGGATCGCTCGGGCCACTTCGGAGGTGGGGTGCCCCCGGCCTCTCGGCCTGGGGCTCAGTCACTCAGGCACAGCTGGCTGCCGGCGGAGCTCACGGGCACGTCACTGCAACTCCCCCTGGCTTCTGCTCCGCGGCTGCTGAGTGACCCCTCATCTGGGACTCTCCTCAGCTCTTTCTGGGACAGTGGCGCGGCTGCCCCTCTGTTGGTCTTCCTTGGTCTCTTGCGTTCTGGGGGCCTCTGGATGTCTGGAGTCTTGATCCCCTCCATACCTGCTTCATGCCCTGTAGGACGGAGCTGTGCCCCCCCCCCCCCCCCCCCCCCCCCCCCCACACACACACACACACCCTCTAGCAGATCATTACATGAAGGAACCTTTTAAAAACAAACGCGTCCATGCTCACAGGTGTACACACGGGTGCACACGACACCCTTTTTGGCTCCTACCTCAAAGCACACTGTGTGCTGTCGATCTTATGTGCCGCACAATAATGTTTAACATTTAGTATTTACTGTTATATTCCCATATATCATTGTGATGTTGTTTATTGTATTGCTCTCGTTTTCTTCTGCTTGTTTTCTTTTTTCTTTCTCAACAGGTGATCCAGGTGATTGATATATGTATTCTTTTTTGGTTTTTTGGTTTTTTTTGCCCTTTATCCCCGTCCCTCTTCTCCACTGTTTCCCCCCCTCTTCCTTTCTCCCTTTTCTTTTCCTCATTCAAGTCTGTCCCGTATCTAGCAAGTGAAAATAAAATAAAGAAATAAAGAAATAAATAAAATAAACAATAAAAGATGAATCAAATGGACCATTACGGCAAGGCTGGGATAGTCAATTTGGTAAAGTAAATCTGTTGGGCATCTTTCTTTGCCTTTAGACAATAATTCTGATGGCAAAAGAACCAAACGGGACAGGCAGAAAGAAAAGAAAAAAAAAAAAAGAACACACTTTGGCTAAAAAAGTGTTGACCGGCAGAATGTCTGGCAAAGAAGAAGAGCACACTGCCACCTGGTTTAGTGCAGCAGTGGCAGGTGTGGTGCAGAGACATAGGGAAACATAGGGCAGGGACTCCACCTTAAAAAATTATTTTGTTCGTGGAAGAATCATTCTTGAAATCACACACACGGTCTGTTGGCACTTATAGAGCTCCGGCAAAGGCTTAAAGTAATAATAATAAGTGGGAGCATGTGCATGAAAACTTATTAATCAATGCATTGAAAAAGTGGGCTGTCAGCTAAGGGCAGAAAACGTTGGCATCAGGCTGGATGTGACTCAGCAGGCCGAGTCACATGCCGCAGGGCGCAGTCAGTGTTCAAGGTTTGGGTCTGACTCACCGTCCAGTGTCACCACATCCTCCCAGTTGTTTAGTAACAT